CAGAGGTGTTGTCATGAGAAGCTGAAGAGGTGACTACTGAAGGTTGGCGTCAACCTTGCTCTCCATCACTATACTTACTTGTGTGAGCAACCTACTTATAATTTAAGAATTCAAAGACCTTGTGTCCAAACAAAAAGGTCGTTCGTCATGACGTAATCCTCAACAAGTCTTGTATTACGGCCTGCCCACATTTCTGGAGAATGCAAGTCGGGACTATCTAGAGCCAACAAAATTCCTGATATTTTTTACCGTAATTGCAAACCACAAATTTTTTAACTACGAAATTCCTGTCATAAGAGACCTGGAGATGCCTAGTCACTATTATAAGAGATCATCAACATCCTACCCAAGAAGGGCATGTGCCTATGCCTCTAGAGTTCGACTCAACATGTAATTCAACCGGCAAGAAAACCTCTATGACACCTTATAGATATTGCTCAATATACGGTCCAAGTAGACAATGTCTAGACACACGGGATTCTTCAAAAGGATCTGATCACAAACCGGCATGTGAGCAAATACACATCCTATCGTGGGGGGAGCGCGAGCTCTGACCGGGAGGTCTTTCTGCGAGCCCGATGCCTGACCTACCATTTCGACCAGGGAGGGCCGCCCTGCTCCCGCTCGACCATTGGGTTCCTCTCTCGCGGCCTCTCTTCCCCGCAGGGACACGCGCTCGCGGCCTCCTTCGGCAGCGGTCCATTCCCGTCCCGCCCCAATAACGGAGTGTAGATATTGAGATGATGTACTCTGTATTTTTTTTACTATTCCCTTCACAAAAATATATTTTTGTATGTTCGGAAACTCCGCTTTTCTTACCCCATAAGAAAACTAAGTACTTTTTTTTAAAATACTATTTCTTCTTATTTCTCTTCAATTTCTACACTTAAGTAAGTCTATTCATGTATCATCATGATGGAGAATCATAAAGGAATTCATAATGAAAAATTACACAAATGCAAAATTACAAAGTGATAACAAAATCAATGAAAAAACTCAAATCATAAATTTTATTTCACAAAAATCTCATGGTCACAATTTTTGCAAAAAATGAAATTTGCTCCTCCCTCTATCAATGTTTTTGTACCTTAAATGTCACAAGTGATTTTTGGAAGTTTACAAAAAATCATACTTTTTTCTTGGATTGTGAAAGAAGCACATGTGAAAAGTGCTTCAAAGAGGGAGTGTAGCACTTGTTTCACCAACTTCCGAAATCTTACGTTTTCTCCCATGTCCTATTTTCGTTTGCTTCACTTTCTCTTGGATGGAAGCAATAGAACCATGCAGTGGAAGACTAATTGTATTGGGACTTTTAAATTTTGAAGTTTTCAATAATGTGTAAAAACAAGTTTGAATGGCTTGAAATTTTCGCTTCACCTCTTCTTCATTGTCACTATAAAGAGTTGCTTGACACAATGATTTGATTTCACATACCATGTTGAGCACCTTCTCAAGCATGACATCAATCGAAAGAGTCTCCTCCCTTGGTACATCCGGTTGGGTTGGAGTACTTAGTTCCATGTCTTCTATGTTGATTTGTGAAGGCAATGGTTCCTGAACCACTAAATTTTCTTTGAGTACTTCAAAAAATAACTTCACAATCGATGTCACACCAAGTATATAATTGCAAGTGAAAACCATATAGGAACAATCACAATAATGTGATTTTAATAAAACTATTAGAATAGATCTACCCAAGAAGGGCATGTGCCTATGCCTCTAGAGTTTGATCCAACATGTAATTCAACCGGCAAGAAAACCTCTATGACACCTCATAGATATTGCTCAATATACGGTCAAGTAGACAATGTCTAGACACACTCGATTCTTCAAAAGGATCTTATCACAAACTGGCATGTGAGCAAATACACATCCTATGGTCATAAAAACACACGAAGAAGTGCTCTGCGTTCAACATGCAAAAAATTTAACTCACCACTATCAAATGAACTTGAATTAGTGGCTGAGTCACCATTTGTTCGGCCCTCTTCCTCGAGTTCAACATGCGCCGACGTCCAGGAACATTTTCGTTTCTCAAGCACCTTCTTCTTTTGTTTCCCTTGGCATAAAAGGCGGCGATGGAGTACACAAATCCAGAAGACGAGAAAATCAGCTGAAACAAGCGTACGGAGGCTAACCCTAACCCTAAATACTTTGAACTTACTGTACATCCACCGAAATTCCTTCAGTACTGCAACATCACCCACGAACAAGGCTGAGGACGGACCGCCAGGCCCAGTGACTGCGAAATGTGCTCTACTGTGGTGTGGCCCGTAATAAGGTATACTGCGGTAGCCGTTATGAAAGCGGTTGTGAACAGTGGGATCTCACCATGTAACTGCGCAGTGGGAGCTCAATTCTAGGTTTTGTACTTCCAAAAGAAGGGGAAACACTTATTTACAATGCCCTTGTGAAATTCCAACATGTGACTTGCTTTGTTGATAATAGGAAATTAGAAATAGCCCATTGTTGCTTCCCATTTAACGACAGTTCGTGGTCAACATGATATTTGGTAGTTTTTTATGAATAACTACATTAGGGGGACCAAGTGGAAATACAAAGAAGGATGGGGATTGACGTTTATAGAAATGCTAAGTTTCTGTGGAATAATAATTTTTGTCTTTCATTTTTCTCCAATTCAATAGTGTGATTGATTTCACTTTGCACATTTACAGTCTCCTTCCACGTTCAAAATCAATACTTCTCGCGATTTATTAAAGACCTTCCTTCATTTCCATCTTGGAGTACGTAATAACGAAAGAGGTTGAGGCTTTAATAAATTTTGACCGCAAAACCTATTCGTTTGTCTTTTTCCGGCGGTGATACTTTTGGCTCCTCAAGCCTCAACTTGTTACTCTGCAGAGTAAGAATCGAAGAAGTAAGAGATCAGCGCTTGATGACTCGAATGCGAATACCTTCTTCCCATCTAATGATGCTGGGTAAGAAATGTTGGAGTTGACTATCTATGTAGTAGCACTCAATATCTCCATAAATGACTGAATGCCCGCAATCAAATCTTTGAGGTGGAAATTATATTGACACCGTATAGTTACCGCAGTTGCACGCAGTAATAATGAGACAAAGCAATTTAATGTACTCCTAAAACTGCGGAATTTGGCAGAGGGAAAAAACACAGGCTCTGAACATCCACTGTAGGCTCTTACACAGTAAGCAGAAGTGGAAGTCGTCACGGGGACGTGATTCGTGAACTTTCCTCTTTAACAGTGGGGATGGCATGGGAGTTACTTCCGCAGCTTCGAATGAGAGATTTGAATATGCGAGATCAGACAGAAGTTACAGGACAATAAGAGCAGCCGGCGAGTTCAGCCAGAGAAATGAATTCGATCCAGGTACCTGCGGTGGACTCCATGTGGTTCCTGAGGTGCGCTGGACAAGCTGACAGTTCCTTATTACAAAGGTGCCGCAACAAAGTTGTATCTGCTTTACTTTGCATAGCGAGGTTGGTGGGTGCTGTAGTTGGGATTTGTTTGTGTTTTATTCTTTACCGTATATTCACTCGGATGAAGACCATCTGCCAGCTCTTACAGTGTGGAGGATGTGACGAATGAGTGCTGAAACTTTAGCTTCCCATGGTCACTCACTGGTCACGGGAATGATAACTGGAATCGGGTAGACAAATCGGAAAGGATCAGAAGATCGACATTGATCTTCCAAATGCTGTCTCACTTCCCTGTTCAAATTGAAATATCTCTTCACTTTTACTTACAGCAACGAATCCTGGAGCTCAGAGTCTGTATATCTATTGTTTCTGTTCGTGACAACCTCAACGTCATAGGAAGCATTTATCGTAGAAGCTCTGTCACAACGACAGCATGTTCAGAGACTGTTTGTCAAATGTTGCCATGTGTGCGCAAAATTGACTACGAAAAGCATTCGGGGAGTTTTCACCTATTTTTCTCATAACCCCATGTCGATACATGTCAGTATCACTTGTCTACGGTACTTGTAAGGAAGGTAGGTGATTATTTTAACATTATGCCATAATGTCGGCAAGCTTGTGTGCCAACAGAGTTTACATATTTTTTCAGAGGTATTTTGTGGGAAGGGAAGGGGGTGGGGGTGTTTCCAGTTCTTCTGAAATTCACGCCAACGACCTTGCCACTTAAGATTCTTATTAGAGGTGCGGTATTTCATTGATAACTTAATATTTAGCTTTTCCCTTTGCTTTCCCGTGTATTATCTTCATTTCTCTCTCATTCTTCTGACCCCTTCTTCTCACTTGTCTGTCAACTAAGTTGTTTGCATCCTTCGTTATTTGACTATTTTGTTGCAGCTTTGATTGTCTTACGCTTATGATGCCGACAATAAAATGTCAAACGGCTGCACTTTTACCCGGTGCCTTTGATTGGACTTAAATCTGAGTACCCAGGTCAACAAACGTTTGTTTCAATACATATGTTTTCTCGTACGATTAAAATCACTGAGTATGTTCTAGTGATACAAACGGACAAGGAATACCAGTTCAATACTTGACTTGGATGAAAATGATCGTGAATGCAAGATACATAAATGAAAGGTTCAGTTTGTAAACTTTGAAGGTAATAGTCCATATAAAGGAAATTCCTTTTCTCCCAACTTAGCAAGCCTCAAAGGGTATTTGTATATCCAAAACTGGTTTGTGCTTACTTCGAAGCCAAATGCAATAATATGTAATTTGTTCATACGCTAGTTAAGAAAGTTTGGATGTTGTGCTTGTGGTCTGTTTTCTCAACCTGGGGAGTTATTGTAACGAGGTAGGCAGGAATGTCTGTCCTCCCTTCAGGTTTCAAGTGTTGAAAATCTCCCTCTTTCAAATGGAATCTGGATGAGTTTCTCAGGTTGATATATGACCCTTGCTTCGCACAGGAACTCTACCACCTTTTTTTGATGATGGGCAAAATCGGCCGATGTATGAATTTACATTTCCGAATCTGTACAGTCCAAAGCCAGTCCATAAATCAGGAATAGGAGTGACATGAAATGTAATTATCGTAGTACGAAGAAAATGAGCTGGGCACTTTAGCGGTTGATGTCACTGCCATGATCTTCCGGTGCAAGGCTGAACGTTTTTGTGTCGTGTGTCGGAGATGTGAGAAGTGTGTCCGCCGTAGGCGTTCGTCTGTCGGATTGAGAGCCGCACGCAAACGAGCCCCTCACGCAGCGTGGCTCCAGTTATGGAGTGTGAAAATTTGACGTCGATAGATCCAAGATGGTTCCTCGAGTGTACGATGGTCGAATTGACACGAGGTTGACGAGAGGATGGGGTACTGTAATGATGGGGGTCTGTGTAGAAGAAGAGCGAGGAATGTGGAATGAATGAAGGTCCCATGAACGATCGATAGATTGCCGGCAAGGGCTTCTGCCATCAGAGTTCTGATCGACAGCAACACAACGCCCACGAACTTGTGAAGTTGGAGGGATCATGAATGTATAAAGGGAGTATGTACGTGAGGAACTAAAAGTCGACGGCCAATTTATGACGGCTTAGCAAACGAGGGACTCAGGGACATGAGAAGTAATGCATTCCCTAAGGGCACCGGGGCATGGGAATTCCGAGAACCCCCTACGCGCGTGTCTTCTTCAAAATACGCAAGGAAAACTTTGCCAAAAGATCTGTATGCGGAGGGACGGTCAGACAGTTAGATGACGGTATCCATGGATGTCATGTCACCTACGTCTTCAGATGTTTCAACTGTATGGATATCGGCGATCTGATCGCATGGGAAGGGTGTCATAATGAATCCGCTGCCTGTCTTTCGGAGAACTCATAAGTGGTCCTCAGCTTTCATTCGTCGACCAGTTGACTACTTATGACGCACGAGCGACCTCTTGCTACTCGTCACGTAGGCCCGGTACGACATAATCGAGTGCGCAGAGTACCAGAGGAGCTCCCGCTGCCTCCCACCTTCACATGACTCTTCTGGTCTCGCCATGTCCTTGTTCCGGTGGTTGCGGTATTGTCAACCGAGGTCAACGCGCTGGATCGGTGTGTTCCTCGATCCTCAGAGTTTCGGTGATCGGAAAGTGACACTCGCTGGAGACGGGACGGCTCTCGAACTCATGAGCAGACCATGGCAACGGTGAGCACCGAGTAGTGTTCGTTGTCAAGTACTACAATCACCGGTCGCCCGATCGATCGATCTATCGAGTGATGGCTCCAGCGACGTGACGGTAGATTCGTTGACTGTTAAAGAGGTGCAGGCTTTTGTCAGATGAACCCCGGTACTAACTGCAACCTTGCGAATTCAGACTTTGGGAGGCTCAGAGAGATGAGAAGGATTGTGAGGCTACTACTCGAGAGAGTGCACATTGCAGCTGGATGTGATCACGGGAGTGATGGTGAAAGGGTATTCTTCACGACGTCCGAGGGGACGCAATACGCAATTATATACTGGAACTTCCAGGGAAGCAGCACCAGCAATTGATACCTCCATGACTGGCTGGCTCCGCTCCTCTGGGCTTTTTCGGGTCACTCCTTCTTTTTCTTTTCTCCTCGGAATCGGAAACCGTCGGGGTAGGTTTTTTAAATCGTTTGGACGACAGGGAAGTAAAGGAAGGTCGAATGGGACGGGTGGAAAGGGGCGGAAGAGCAAAGCTGCGCAGAGGACTAGTGAAGGGAGACAGAATCATCAGATCATAGACATTGCGCTGTTGTTGGAGTCTACTAATCGGTGGGAAAGAGCACAGCTCTTTCGCTACGTTGTGGCTCAAAAGAAGCCAGCCATGATCCATCGCCCCCTGAGAGCGGAGATAAAGATACACGATGTACGTACCAGAGTTTCCTACTGGCGCTCGAGACATCTGTGCTGGGTGGGAGATGGCCCGTTCACGCCATTCTTGTCAGCGTTGGCACAGAGACACGAGCTTAGGCGCAGACAATGAAGGAGCCTGAGAGGCACAAGGACGACAAGAGTCGAGGTGGTAGGTGCAGCACTGATTGCTCAGATCGGGATTTTGTTGGCATGCACGGAGAGCTTATCGACGTATTTATGACCCTACAGTATGGTTTTATCACTCCCGAGCTGCGACGTTACTTCTAATCCTCCACCTTCTGATCCTTTCATTGCGAAATCATCATTCTCCACTACGAAACGTGGACATTCGCTCTGTGCTTCCTTCTCTTCCATTCTTTTGATGCCTACCGCTACCTCCTGGTCTTACAACAAAGAGTGCCCAGAACCTCTCACACTCTGCAGTGCGCTCTGGAAGGGTACGACCTCATCTCCTTGTTCCTCGAGGCTCCTTCTCTCCAAAACGTCTGCTTCCTACCTACGGTTGCTCTAGTATGTTCAGATCCCCCAAATCACACTGCACTGCCTCCACCATTCTCAACCCACTGTTTGTCTCTCCCTAAAGTAAGAAATGTATGGAAGCTGAGAAAGCAGCGCTTGCGACCTTTAATTTACCTACGTCGTAGCTCCTCCTGTCAAATCGTGATTCTCTAACATGGCGCGATTCTGCTTTACACCTTCTAAGCTACCATATCTTCATACGTAGACTTCCTCTTCTGTCTGAGATTTGGGCGGTCTACTTAATGCAGCGGTTTCGCCCTACCTACGGGCTGCTTCATTTAAGAATGAACTACTTCAGAAGCCTGCACAGCTGCAGTGGCCACCCTTTGTTGTGGCCCATTTGTCCAGCTAGTTTGAGACCAGAATAAAGCGCATCTGGGGCAGACGTCACGACTCTCCTTTGGGAGTTCTCGTCGTGTGAGTATAGAGAGAGAGAGGGAAGATATATAACTCGCTACTGACCATAGTTATACCACATACACGGATTCGGGCAACTGTACGTCCAGCTATTCGACAGTCATTAGGATTATGAGAGGGAGAAGGAAATTGCTTCGAACCATGAGTTGCCCACAAGGGGGAATCTGATTGTCCTACGCGGAAGTTTTCTGCCAGACTCAGGTCATGGATCGCCGCTCCTCTAAAAGATTACTACCATCTCAAAGGTTCCTATGGAATAGTTCTCTTATCTCGATTCAGCAACTGGCTCTCTGCTGTCCAAGGACAACCTATTAGAGTGATTTATCAACTTCGCAGTAAACAGTTAGCTCGAGTTGTTTAAGTCAGCTAGGGAAGAGCGTTAGCAACATGGATTATGCGTCGGATGTTTGCCACAAGCATGGTTAGACAGACATTAAAGGTGAAGATCACACGTACATTTCATGGATACTGTTAGCCGGAATGATGATGACTACCAAGGTTCTTAGCACTTGGCACCCTTTCACGAGTTTCCTTCTTCCTCTAGCATTGTTCATCATTCAGCGGAGTATCTGAACACATGACGTTCGCTATTATACATGCACACTTCACCTTTCAAGCTCCGAATATTCATTCACGTTATTCGTTTTCAGGCTTTTCTCGCGCCTTCTGCGCGAGAAAAGCAACTGGCAGAAGGCCAGTGTTAGCAGCTTGTGAGAATAAATGTGCGGGCACAGTTTTTTGCCTCTAGGATTTGGGCCCACACGTTCCTTCCTACTTAGAAATTTCCCTGTCGAAATTAATTTTTAAGATTGTTAGGAACGTTGCTTGCTGATGATGTTTTGTCACTGATTATTGGGAGATGAAACTGTTTCGCTACTTTGTTTTACTTTTCACTATCAATTATTTTGATTGTCCATTGTTCTTTCCATATTCCTCATAGATTCGTCGTTGTTTATTCTTACCAATGTCGATATATGTGGGAAGGATAAGTAACGAAGAATATATGTATATAATGGAATGGGCACAAATATTGTGAAAGAGGAAGTAGAGATGGTTTATTTCACAATTTTCTACAATGGCAACTGATGAAATTTACATTTCATTTTTTCTCAAATGTGGAAATTGTAAAAATTATGAAATTGAGGTAATTTGAGTAGAAGATGTTGGTTCCATCCATTTTTTTTTTCAAATGCGATTTGCAAAAGTAACCAAATTGGGGTAATTTTGTTATGATACGCTCGTCCCACCCATATTTAACTTTTCTAATAGATGCGGTAGTAGAGTTTCAATATTCAACTTCACTACGTTCAATCCGAGGAATCGTTAATATGTAACCTGAATTCCCGATTCTCTATTTCCAGTACCAGATAAAAGCTCCAACTCACAGGGCATTTGGTAACTCGCAAGTACTTCGCAAGAAGTACACTTTAACATCACCACAAAAAGTTTCAAAAGCGAAAGCATCTCTTCCATTAGAAATCAGTACATTTATTACTGGTCCTGAGAAGGACACTTCTTGAGTGAATAAATTGGGGCATCATCTAATAGGTCACAATTGTCGTAAAAAATGACTTTGTCCTAGTAGTACAGAACAGTACTGGACAACCTATCTCGGTCTACGGAAGGAGAATCTCGGAGGATTTCAGTAAGAGTAAAGGAAGCTTGTCTCTTCGCTAAGCTTGTGTACAATAGCAGCACTATTCACAGTGAGATAACGCAAATGGAGATGAGAGACGTTCATAAGCTAATATCACATAATTGAGTATACCAGGTTTGAAACAAGCCTCCGGATTCTTAACCTTTCTTCAAAACTCTTCCACATCCCTTTCTTCCAAGGGAGTGAAACCTCCAGGCGGGACCCAATATCTCGTCATCTGGAGCCAACGTATCGTTTGTGGAGTAATCATGTCCTCATGTGTCAAACAACCTTCCCGGCCTTCCGGCTCCAGCTGGCCTCGGCAAGCTGAAATTCGCTGAAATGTGGAAGGACTTGCTGACACGATGAGATTCGTAATGCTTTCGAGGAGCGATATGTACCATGATGTAGAAGGCACGAACAGTGTCCAGGGGGGTGCCTCAAAGCACTGGTGCAGGTATTCATCTACTGGGAGTGCAGCTTTGCGTATTGTGCAGGCAGAGTTCCGAAAACCCAGTCCCAGAACTCAGACGTTATGCCAAAACTGTCCGACTGTACCTTGAAGTGGTGATTCAAATGGTATCTCTGCACACAACGACGGAAAACTAATCAGTTTCTCGGACCACTTTGTGCGACTTCTAAATTGACACCAAGACCGTCAAAGCTCTTGACTCCATCGTGTCAGCTGCTGAATGTTTCAACATCAATTACTAAAGCTTAATTCGCCGAGAACCGCGGGCGATTTCGGTCTGAGCTGTGATAGGGTCTTAGCCGTTTACCTTCATGCTTCTCAGCCTCTCGCTGAAAGCGTTCCCGTAGTGGAGGAAGTAGTGGGTTAGGTCGTACACGATGTATGCCAATAGGCCACCTCCAGAAACAGACTGCGACACGCCGTTCGGGAATATGGCCTTCATGAGCCACCATAGCTGTCAAACAACACGTCAAACACGGGTTGGGATTAATTGCGGAAGAGTCATGCGGGGCAAAGCACCCAGAGTGGGCAGCATCTCTGACAGACTAGCCGTTTGAAGAACGCGCGATGCCACGAGATGCCCTCATGCAGAAACGTGTCCGAAAGCTATTGCCAGATTAGCATCATGCATAGTTCGGAACTGGAGAAGGCCACTCACAGCGTAGCTGAAGAAGAATGTAAATGCGGGAGGGAAGACCAGCCGCATAGAATCCATAGGATGCTTGTGGTGGAAACCGTGAAGGACGTAATGAGCCTTGGCAGTCCTGTGGAGTGACGGACTTCGGTATCAGTCAAAGATTGACGCTCTAAGTGAAAAGCAATGTGACGGACGACAATTTTCGCGAGGAATCCTGAAAAGAAGTTGATGCGCAGGTGCGACATTTAACAAGCAAACAAAACTCGACGGCGTTCATAGTCTGTACCAGTAGGTGGTAGCTTTCATATGGAAGAGGAATCTGTGAATGAGGTATTCGGCTATGGTCCACAGACCACATCCCACAAGCATGTACGGAATCACCATCTCCATCGGCAACCCGAACTTTACTGCTCGCATTTCGCTCCACAGAACGACAGGCATCCACACCAGCGGAATAACCCACCACTTGGTACGAGTCAAGAACTGGACGCACAGAAAAAAATGTCAGATGAAGAGATAGAACGGTCAGGTAAAGAGATAAACGCGGAGGGCACAGAGACTCAGTCCAATTGAAGAAGCAGAGACAGAATGTGGCACCTCAATCCAGTCGCTTTCAAAGAATCGCGGGCTTTCTTTGCAAATGATAGGTGTATGAACCCACTCGTCGTAATCTTTCCCGAGGTATCCGACCTGCGCAATAACACCGCTGTTTAGCCCCACGCACATGCCAAAACACGATCAGAACCGTTCTTCCACATTAAGCTCAGACTGTGAGAGATCACATGACATACCTGGGCGACGAGAGGTTTAGTGAGGTCAATCTCAAATTTCTTCTCAATAACAGGGGTAGTTTCTTCCGCCCTGCAAGTGACCCGCAACATTTCAGTGGATCTGCAGAGAACCATAATGCTACTCGAGTGCGTACAGCGTGATTGATGTGAGGTATGCATCGAGCCCTGACCGATAGAAAACCGAACTGTATGAACTGATTTGAGTAACCAGTATCGACAGATCATATACCGATGGACTGCTCGACATTCGAGATCATCTCACCTCTTTTCAACACTCTTCTGAACTACGAACTGCTCCAGCATTTTCATGGCAGCCTTACTGTGGATGTGCGCCCCTGGCTCATCCAGGCCTTTCATCAGTCGACCCACGTCCTTGCCGTTGAGGTGTTCCGTAATCAGCTGTCAAGCACATGATACAGGTCAGTTTTGTCTGTGTGTTTGCAGAATTGTACACAGTTCCATTCCACGTCGCAGTTGTCACCTCCTCGTGACGGGTACGAATGCGACTTTGGCTACGAAAGAGACTTTGCCAACATCCAACATGTGAAACGACTGTCCTGCGTGTCCAATGCAGACTCCCAAACCAGGCCCTGGCAGGACCTTGTATAGATTGGTTGGCATCTGGGGGTAACTTACATCGGCACCCCCGGGATGAAGATCAAGAAATGAGGCAACGTCATAGACTTTCCCATTGACTGTCAGCAGCGCAGGTGTAAGGTCCTCGTGATCGTGCTCTTCTTTCATCGTCAGCTCTTTGGCTTGGACCTGAAGTTTCTCCAAATTCTCGTCATCGACTGACTCCGCGACATTGGTATCAAGAACACCCTGAAGGTTCTTCAAAAACATAAGTTGTTTTGCATTTGCTCTAGCGTTGGCGTCGCCGTCGAAGTGCCCTGGCATTGGGGAAGGAGCGAGCGCAACTTGCTGCAGTGGTAAAGTCATCCTGTACATCCTAGCAACTACGCCCAATGATTTTCCAACTCGTCCGGCCACCGAGTCTCGCTACAGCATCCGCTTTTCGACCGGAGGGATAGTCCGAATCCACTCGAGCTAACAATGGGCGATCACAGGAGGCACAGCGCGACTGTGCCTTAGCACCTCGCCCTGTTCCTCCGGTCGCACTCCCACTCGCCCTTCGTCTCTCCTTGCGATCCAATTGATTCAGCTCGAAAGAGAGGCGTACTAATAATCGACAGCGCTGGCTTGCTCGGCACAGATTACCGGGATTTCAACAACGAGCACGCTCCCTCGTCCACCTGCCGATTCAGTGCCGTCTGCACTGCTCTCGACTGGCCAGCCAGCCAGCGTCCCCACAGCGGGATCTTCTGCCTCCTGCTGTCCTCCGCAATGCGACGAGCAGCTGTAGCCGCAGTCTCAGGCCTCCGCAGACACGTTCCTCTCACGCCCTTTCGAGGCAAGTGGAAACGCGCTCTGCCCGAGTCCCCGACGCACTGCTTCCTCTTTGAGACTGCCTCGCTCCTCTCTCGCACTCTCACTCCTTCCCTCTGTCACAGCCCAACTCAGAGCTCAGCAGCACAACTGCAATCCGACTCTCCCGGCTCGCTCTCTCTACTCTTCAACTGTGCTATGGGGTGGAGGGGCCGACCGACGAGCGAGCGAGCGGGCGGGCGGGCGGGCGGGATGGCGGTCTCGGCTGGCAGATGGATAAGCAGGCAGGCAGGCCCAAGCCAAGTCCGGAACTCACAGCAACACACGAGGAGCAGAAGCAGAACGAGTCGAGCCCGACGACGAGAGGCCGAGGGAGCGACCACGACGAGTACTGAGTGAGCGCGAGCGAGTAGTCTAGAGCTGGGGAAGGGGGGCTCGAGTGGACGTGGAGTGGTAGCAGGACCGGAGGCAGGGGCTTGGCCGTCGTACAACTGGTGTTTGGGCTGACTTGGCAATTCGCCTGCTTTATAGGGGCCGGCCTTCGAGTGCCCGGAACAGAACTCGAGCATGCATGTCTTCCGATGGACGATCGCCCAAAAGCGGAGCCCATCGACGTCGGCCATGCGCCGTTCAGTTCATGGATGTGATGAAGAAAAGCCAAGGCTTCTCGTCCTCGCCTTTAATTCGTCTGTCAGGCGCAGTCAGACTCCCCGTCCGTCTGCCCCTCCGTCCGTCGGGCAGTCGACTGTTCAGTCGGCCCCGGCTTCTGCTCTGCTTGTCCGGCTCCTTCACTTCCGGCCCGGTGTCTCACCGCGGACAGAGAAGCCCAGACCAGACGGCTCCTGACGTTGCCAACTCGGGAACCGTCGGTCTGTCGCTGGATGACCGACGGACGAAGTCAGTCCTGTGTCCGGAGGTATTGGGAGAACCAGAGTAACCAGAGGACGAAGGTGGACGACCCTTTCTGCCATCTATTCCCGTCGATCGCATTACCGGCATGCATCTCCCTCTGCCGGTAATTCCAGTTAACTCCCCCAGGCTGGGGTGCTGGAGATTTCTGTCAACTACCGCTTCGTGTCTTGCGTTTCGGCCACTCCAATGGAACACAATGTGATTCCACGGTCTTTTCAATAAGCTCAATGAGTTATGTAAGACACTTTTGACGTCAAGATTTATCACAAACACGGACACCGCGCTCGACCTGTCTTTTGTGGCTTGCGCAATAGTGGAGAGCCAAGGCGGAATATCCACAGTGAACGGCCACTGTGTTACGTTTTTGAAGAGTTGGAGTGAAATATTTCCTTAAGATCGTGGCTTAAGAGAATTTTGTGGAGGCCAGGATTTGGAACCGAAAGAAGCGCAGAAAAGATATATCTGCTTTCCCCTTGATTACCGTGGTCAGGCCTTACTTCACAATCTCTCATGGCGATAATATAATGCATGAGGAAAGAAAAGCAGAATAGAGAAAAGAGAAGCAGAGTGGAAGCTTAAACGAGACCTAGTATTATGAATAATGATACGATCCCCTAAGTTTAAAGAATAGATTTTGGAAAAATGTGCATAGAAAAAGGATGAAATTAATGTGCAGCTCTGCTATAGTTTGTAGTACGCAATGTGATACAAGGTTGCAATGGAGCCAAATTTCAAACGGTACAATGCTTATTATTAATACTATGTTTTTAAAATAATTCATACAATTCTATGTTGAATTCTCACAAGTAACTACGAATTGTACCATTGCATGAAATGATGATATTTCACCAAAATATTAAACCACCAAAAAAAATATGATGATATTTTTGTTGAATATTATCATCTTGAACCTTACTCGGTATCCCATCTTACCCATCAAACCACACATTATCATTCTTCGTGATGTCCCCTAGTTTTGAACACACAAAAAATCGCGTCCAAATCCATAAAAGATCTTTGCAAAGGCAAGGACCAGTTCGCAAAAACCCTTAGGAGTCCATAACCAGATAATTGTTTTTTCCCTTGCCTATAAGTCAAGCCCCTCTCGGAGGTGGGTTTTGAAACCTTGCTCTTCTAAACTAGTCTCGCGGATCCTCTACAAATGGCAATTCCCAATCCCCACAATGGTCGCGTCAACGGGCTGACGGTGTTGTCGGACTTCGGATCTCTACCTAAGGATCTGACGTCTGACGATGAAGCTGAACGAAAATCCCGTTTCTCCGTTAATAGACGTAATTTCGTCGACATGTCGTGCACTACATGTACCGCCGAGGCTCGAGCGAGCGATGGCAAAACGAGGAGAAAGTCCGCGAGATCCGAGATGGCGAAAAAGGAGAGGAGAGTGGCCGTCGGCAGATCACGATACAAACGCTCATACTATTCAGGACAGCAACCCGTGCGCGACGTGCGGTAAAGACGAGGGCCCGAGCATCGCCACTGCGACCGCCGCAGGGCGGGCGAACCGTGCCCTCTGCGCACCGGCTCCAAGCTGTGGACGAGTCCGATAACCCGATCGGCGACTTGGACCGGGACGCCGAAATTCCAGATTCCAACCGTGGCAGATCGATTCACTGTACGCTGACTGATGTTCATTATTTCGGACAGCCTGTAGTTGTCGGTGTGAAAGACGTCGCGTTCGCCGTCGACTGGTTCTCGCCTCGCCTTCCCGTGCGCTTCCCCGAAACCGCATTTGTATCCAGAATTCAACTTATCGGTTGCGTGGAGCATTTCCTCTTGCCAGGGATCTCGAAAATGAAATATAAAAACATCAGAACGAAGTATATTATTTCTGAACGAGTTACTAGTGGATACCCATGGAGAGACTCGATCGTCGGACTGCCGTGCGGTGGACCGCACGGCAGTCCGACGGGATTCTCACATGAACTCCAGTTTATGTGAGAATCCCGGCTTTGTCTTCAGATTTCGGCCAGAATAAATCTTCGCAGAACTGCAGCTGGGAGCTGTGAGAACCAAAAAAAAAAAGAGCTGGGCGACATTATTTTCATAAAATCCAGCTCCTTCGAAACTGAAATTTTGTATCTCTGGGAGTTTTTAATTGCACCGGAGTCGTATGAAAAGTATGCAGAAAAAATTGAAAAAATATATGTGGTTGACTTATGAGAAATTTTGAGCTCTGGATTCCTTGAAGTATAGATATTGTCAAATATTCCATAAAGCTTTTCAATTTTTCAAGCTTTTGGTATTGAATCGTTTATCCCGCGGAGAAGACCACCATTTTCCTGCTAAATCGTTGGGCACTGCTCATTCTCTCCGTGCTTCTGAAGACTGAAAGCTCGTTAACAAATATCACAAGCTCTTAACCCCAAAGGATATAAAGTTCGACGAAACGCGAAAGCTGATGGAACCGAGTGAATGTCACGAACATCAGAAAATTTTCTATGTATGTAAGGTACCTTTCCATTTCATCACCGAGGCCCTACTTTGTGTGTGCGTATACTCGGGAAAGGGGAACTTATCTTTAACTGTCTCGATCACCTGAAGAATTTGTCTTCTTTTCGCCTTTAGGGTATATTGAAAGAGAGTAGGCATACATTCTCACAATTATGACAATCTTTTCAGTTTGTGTGCAGTCCAAGCTACCGGAGTCGAGAAGGTGCAGACCTTTTTGACAGGCTCGCTTTCTTTTCCTCCTTTTTTGGGATACGAAACTCGTTTTCACACTTCATTCCTGCGATGGCGATCGAAGGGGGGTTGTAGGGGTATTCAACCCTTTGTGATGCTATTTTGGGCCTCGTGTTTGGTTTTATCCTTGCATAACTCGATGGGACCTTCCCATCCTTTCTGCTATTTTACTGTGGTGTAGTTCTCCATCGAGGGGGAATCGCAGTGACATGTTTGGTTAATCTGTCTTTGTTGACAAGATAGTGGTCGTCATCTCTAATGAGGGCTTGTTGAGAGGCACGTGAAATGGATTGGACGTGAAACGCATCATCGCTCAATATCACATCCCGACCTCTCCGACCGATGCTGATTTACACATGAAGGTCATGGCATGAGTTATTGGCAGTTCAGACCATTAGCTGGCGGGAGCATTTTGCGAGAGAATCTTCGAGATGTTGCTCCAGCCTCATCAGATAGGGGAGTTATAATATTCCCTGTGATGTCACGTATAAACTTCGATTCGCAGAACCAAAAAGTTGCGGTATCCATGGAGACAAAATCCAACAAACGAACAGAGTTACTATTCCAACGCATATGTGGCACGCAGTCATGTGTCTATGTCCCCAAGATATGTCTACCCTTCGAATGGACGCAGTTTCTTCTGTAGATCTCGACTTAGGCTGCGTCAAGTGGAACGGGTGAATATGCCGGAGTGGTTTCATTGACAAACGATGTAGTCCTCACCTTCCTTGAGAATCCGCTGAAGGGGCCTACTCTAATGTACGCAAACCATGCAGTGAAGAATTTAGAAGAGCATCCAGCTCGAGAACAGTCGATTATCTCACATCTGTCGGATCAAAAGCTTCTAAACTTTGTCATATTCTGCACTAGCCTTCCACTTTACAGTGGTGCACCGTACCGCGAGCCATGCCGGCCCGACTCCCCATCACAAAAGCATGCAGCAAAGATCAACTTCGCGACGTGAGGCATTAGCTTTCACAAAATTCAGAGGGTGTCAAACCACTTTCCGCAAAGCATGCAGTTTTACATGGTGGAGACTCCATTGTGAATCTCTACCCAAGCAGAGGGGCCACATTACCGCGTCCCCAAGCAATCGATCAATCAATCAATCAACCACTCCGAGCGGTAGCGAGAAAAAGAGCCAAATGGATGTGAACAACCCTCAAATATCACAAAGATGAAACCATGATGTGTCCCAAGTATATTGCTTCTCTTTGAAAATGCCTAAAACTCTAGTTGTGGAACAACATTCTCGAATCTGGAAGGAGCGTCTAATACTTCTTTCTCCTCTTCACAAAATTCACATTTGAGTTTATTCTAGCAGGCTTGTTGCTTGCATAAGAAGTCATGGTATTTGAGAAAAATAGACTATGAATCACTGCCTAAATTCCACATGAAAACTCCACACTTCTTCGTGCTCTTCAAGAATTTATATTTCTGCTTCCAAATCTAGAGTTTATGTTTAAAAATAATTTGATCTTTAATCTAGCGATAAATATTATCTTATGATAATGAGATATAAAATTTCGTTATATATTCTTTTAGTCATTAGTAAGATAAACATACACTTCAATGTCATACAATTAAATCGTTATTTGATGATTCACATGAAATAACCAGAAAAAATTTCAAAGGGTAAACATACTACCAAAAAAGATAAAAATATGAATACATTTTCCTCAACTTCAAAACTTCCTTCAAATTTTTTATCGTATAATATGCCGTGTGTCCCACAGAATTAAATTCTTGATTCCGTCCCTTAAAAGTAAAGAAAAATCTAGATACTTTTATTTATATACCTCTATATCTAGGAATCTTGGTTGGTCTACTTGAATCGGTCAAAAAAATGACCTAATTATATCTTCAAAAT